TTACAGACAGTTGTTAGCTGCCATGTGGGTGCTGGGATTTGAACCCGGGTCTTCTCAAGAACAGTGAGTGTTCTTTAACCGCTGAACCATCTCTCCAGCCCCATCTTTTTTTAAAGAATATTTTATCTATTATTTTTGTTTTATCGTATAAGTGTATTGTCTGCACGTGTGTGAGTGCACCCATGTCGTGCAATGCCATGGAGGTCAGAAGGGCTTCAGATTCCCCTGGAACTGGAGTTAAGGACGGTTCGTAGCTGCCATGTGGGTGCTGGGAATCAAACCTGGATCCTCTACAAGAGCAGTCAGTGCTCTTAACCTCTGAGCCATCTCTCCAGCCTACATTTTTATCTTTTTTGTTGTAGTTTGTTTGAGACTGGCTGACCTGGAATTGTCTGCTTGCTCAGAGTGACTTAGAACTTCTGACCCTCCCACCTCCACCTCCTAAGTGCTGGTATTACAAGCACATCACCTTGCCATCCCTGATGTGTCTTTCTGAGATTAAAGATAACAGGTGCCTGAGGCTACAGTCCCTGTACAGAACTGGGCCCACAGCAAAGCACACAGGCTCCTGATAGACACTTAGCCAGAGTTAGTAGGGTTCCAAGGCAGGCAAGGTGTCAGAAAGACACGCCCCAGGGTTCCAACCCAGGTCTACTGGCCCTGGGGGGCAATGCTCAGACACCTGTATTTAACATTCCACCTCCCACTCCAGGGATTTTGAGACTCCTTGGAGTGGGAAACGCCCTGCCTCTTCCTCCTTCCCATTTGTGGTTTTGTATGGTTTTCTAGTCCTTCCTTCCACCACTGTCCTCCCCAGGAACCAGCTACCCCATCACCCTCCCACCCCATTTCTCACCGGGGCTCCTGGAAGAAGGAGATGATGCCACGCAGGGTCTCTGTAAAGGCTTCATAGTAGCCAGAGTCTGTGTTCAGCAAGTCTCCAATCATCTGAACGGCCCCTCGGCTCAGGTTCCCCACCTTGATCAGGTACTCCTGTGATGGACCAGAAGAGAAAGCTAGCATCTCAGAATGCCTCTGTCTAACATGAAACTTCCCACCCAGGGACAGCAAGGAACAGACCTGAGCAGGGTAGAAGGGCAGGTATGCAAGCACTGGGCCCTCGGGGCTGCCTTGCACACCCAACTCTGAGGACAGAGTCCAGAATAAGGTCCCCCAAACAGAAAATATCAACCATAGGTATGATCCCAACCCACAGACCTTCTTCCTAGCCTTTTTATAGTTCCAAGGACCCCTGTTTTGTAAATGGGGAAACTGAGGCCCAGTTTCCATGCCCAGTGTGAACCTGGCCTGGCTTTTCTGAGTTTCCCTAGAATACTGAGTAGTAAGAATGTGGGCACCAATATTTCTCATCCTGACCTGACCCTCCACCTCTGACTTGTCGCCCAGCTGTCCTGGCCACTCCATCAGTAAATGACTTCAGGGTCAGCTTCTGATACATTGACCCCTTCACACCTGTGCTTTGCCCTAGCTTCTTGGACCCAGGCAAAGCCAGAGTGGACATGACAAAGCTGGCTTGTACAGCTTCACCAGTTATGGTAGGCGACTATTCAGTCTACACAGGCCGAGGTGGTCTCCAGTCACTAGCACAAGCAGTACTGGAAGTCAGATGCTGAAGGGAACTGCCAGGAAGTCTGAGCACTGCTGGCTGGGCAAACATGCTTATTTAAACCAGAGATAACACTATAGGGTCACAGGACACTTAGCACAGCAACACTGAGATACTTGAAGACATGCTGGGTCTATTAAGGCCTTTAACGCCAGGACTCAGAGAGGTCATTTGTGGCCCAAGTCTGGGGGTGTGTTATTGTGAGGTAGAGCACAGAGCCCTGGAGATCTCCAGCTCATCTTGATTCTCCAATCTTGGCATCTCCCTTCTCTCCCTCCTCCACACCATGGCCTTGAGTCTGCAATGACCAGACCACATACGGCAATAGACTTTGATCCATCCAGTGTCTCAAGCAAGCTGCCCACAGAGGTGAACCACAGGGCAAAAACAGCCTGGCCTAGAATAGTCAGGATCTGACAGTGACTATCAGCTTCATCTATCAACTTCAGTTCTCCAGCTGGAGAGCTCCGCCTAGCCTCAGCTCATCAGGCACACTGGTAAGCTGGCTCCAGCCGCCACAAGCTAACAGCCTCTAATCAGGGCACATCTGGAACCTTCCTTGTGGTTTTGTGTCTGCAGTGCTGGGGACTGAACTGAGGACCTCACACATGACAGACAAATGCTTACACAGAGAGCTAGACCTGCAGCCCCAGCCTTCCCTGCTTTTCACTGTAGTTATGTGTTACGTTAGGATGTTTCCATCAATGGTGTCAAATATATATACATATGCCAGTGGTCCCTTAGGACTGCAAAGCCTAGTGATGCTGTGGCCATCCTTGTTCATGCATGTAAACTGTGATTTTTGCACAACTATGTAATCACTTGAAGACACATTCTCAGAAATTAACCCCTCATTAATCAATACTACAACTATATGTCTGCCCCATATCTCTGTCTGCCCTTGACGCTACCAAAATGTAGGCATGGTGGCTGACTCCCTAGATAGAGTGAGCTCTGAATAAGTAAACTTGACCCTCATAAGAGTGATATCTAGTTTCCTCCCTCCCTCGCCTCCCTCTCCTAGGAGAGCTTACATTCTAGCAGGGCCAACAGTTAAACAAGTAAAGCACAGCACAAGCAGGACATGATGGTGCATGCCTTTAGTCCCAGCACCTGGGAGGTATGAGGCAGGCCAGCCTGGTCTACATAGAGAGTTCCAGGCCAGCTGGGGCTCCAGGGAGACTCTGTCTCAAAACAACCAAAGAAATTAGTTTTTTAAAAAAACAAACAAATGAACAACAACAACAACAACAAAAAAAAAAAACCACCACGGGGCTGAAGAGATGGCTCAGTGGTTAAGAACACTGGCTGTTCTTGCAGAAGACCCAGGTTCTCATCCCGGCACCCACACGGCAGCTAACAACTGTCCATAATTCCAGTTCCAGGGGATCTGATGGCCTCTTCTGTTCTCCATGGGCATTGCATGACACGGGTGCACTTACCTACACGCAGGCAATGCATGAATACACATAAAATAAAAATAATAACTAAAATATTTAAACACACACACACACACACCACATGATAAGGGCTGCTGAGTTGTCCTGCTGGGGTGTTTCAGGGGAGGGAGGGACTTGGGGTCTCAGGACTGACCTTGGTAGAGTAGGAATCGTACTTCTCCAACACCTCACGGCAGCTGCTGTTCTTCAGTTCCTCCACAATCTCAGGAGGGAAGAGGACGGGGAAGACATGTAAGGGTTTGCTCCCGTAGACTGTCAGCCCCACCCTGTCCAGCCATATGCGCCATAACTGTTCACTGGTTTCCACTTGGAGCGTGTGTGTGTGTGTGTGTGTGTGTGTGTGTGTGTGTGTGTGTAATGCTTTATATGAATCCTAGGTCCCAGGACTGTGTCCTACAACCACACTGGAGTGTCCTGATAGTGGAAATTTCACTTCTCCTCTGGGACAGACACCAAGTGTGTACAGATAGAGCCCAGGTTCCTCTGACAACCTTGAGATTCCCACATGTGGGGAAGCTACTGCCTTGTCCTGTGTTGAGGACATTTCCATGGTCCTCTGAGGTCACTATGAATGGTGGAGGTGTCAGAGACCTTGGCCCCACAGAGTGCTGAGAGAGGCTAGACAGGAGTCCAAGGCTGGGTGTCCTGACCCTGAGCAAGCCACACCAGGACAGCACTGGAGGACACCAGCACAGAGGCCTTCCAGACAGCCCTTTCCCACAGTGCTCAGCTGTCACAAAGAGGCCCCTCCAGGCCATGTGTCAGAGGAGGCAAAGGCATTATCAGGGCTGAGTAAACACCCACCAGGTAGAACAGGTGGGCAGGCAGCCCAGGCAGGGCGTAAGGGTGTTTTCCTCCTTGACAGCATATCTATCATGATGACAATTGTAGTCTGAGGCCTGGCCCTGAGCCTAGCATCATTTTTATCACTTTAAAAGGTCCTCTTATCTAATCCTCGCAAACAACCTGGGAGACAGAGGCTCCAAGAGGACAGAGAATTTGGAGAAATCGTCTTGCCCAGGGTCACATGGCACAATTCAAACCCAGAGTCCACCTTGCAAATCTCTGCAGTGAACCTCCACGATGGTTTCATGACGACTCCCTTTGTACATATCTGCACATATAGAGACATCTGGGGTCTGAGAAGACAGTAGCTGTCCAGCCTGTGGCTGGCATAGGACAGAGTCATGAGAGTGTGGCAAGGTTAATGACAGCCAGGCTGGTGAAACCATCCTGCACAGAGTTCTGGGGTCTACGCAAAGACTAGTTGGGGAATCAGAGACAGCTGAGGTATCCCTGAGGGAAGAGGCAGGCTGGTCCCCACTTTGCCTCACCTTCCTCAGTGACTCATCAAAGAGCTGTTCCGCTGTCTTCCCCATCTCGTCTTTTCTGACTTGGTACCCTAGCAGGCTGGGGTCAGCCTGCACTGCCCCTGAGCGCTGTCGGACTCCATTGACCATCACCCACGTCTGGTTGTTACAGGGGCAGAATTCCTTCAGCATTAGCCCAAATTTCCTGATGAACTCATGAGAAAGTCTGTGGAGGGAATCAAAGATGTTCAGATAGAGGGGGAGGAAGCCAGCAGCCCTCCTTGCTTCCTTGGCCTACTTCCTGCCTCCTGATTCACTGAGACCACCCCGGCCTTCCCCAGGGATGGTCAGCCTCCTGGTTGCTACACTAGGCTAGTGGCCACGTGACCAGAGGGAACTGCACCCCTGTATTTGTGGCCCTCTCTGCCAGCTAAGACATGTCTGGAACCCGCAGCCTTCTGACTTTCAGGCGTGACCACTCCAGTTCCTGGACATGCTATGAAGGGTGGTGCGCAGGGAGTGTCTATGTACACCACTCCCAAACCTTCTAGGCTGCAGTTCCCTAACTTCTCGCTCACTCAGGAAGGCCCCTCTACCCATGGTTGCATGGAGACACCACACATCACCTTTGGGAAGGATGGTCATCTTCCAAACATTTACAAACCCAGCAGGTTGCTTTAGACTCTCCAGCATGTTCCTCCCCCATAGTTCCCTTGGAACCTCAACCAGCCTCCTAGGCAATCAGAGCAGGCACAGCTGTCTCTTTACATACGCTTTTCTGGGTCATACCTGTGGTTGATAGGGATCCTCATGGCGCCCAGCTCTATGTACCAATGTGCTCCAGGAACTCTGTGGGTCTCAATTCTGCCTCCTACACGCCCAGAGGCCTCCAGAACAGTCACCTGAAAACACAGCCCTTTAATGAACTCAACAAGTCTGCCCCTTGTGCTCCACACAACACCCACCTCCTCCCTTCGGACTGACCCAGACCCTCTCCACCTCTTTCTTTTTTCAGTGCTGAGGATTGAAACCACAGCATTGTGCACCACCATTGAGCTGCACCCCTAGCGCCTCCTTGCAGCCTTTTGAAGTTGCTCTCTATTACTAGGTCAGTTTATCTGCACCCTAACTACCCCAGCCTAGAGCCCTAGCCCCAGCCTCTGGCCCCAGATCCCCAAGGATGTTCACAGCCTGTTCTAACATGAGACGCTTCCCACGAGAGACTCTCCTATATCACATACCTGGTGACCCGCATCCTGCAAGATCTTGGCAGCCGTGAGCCCAGCCATGCCTGCCCCAATCACCACCACTCGTTTCCTTGCAGCTGTCTGCCCCAGCCCATCTCGAGCCAGCCGCAGCAATTCTTCATACTGAGGGTCCTCAAAGCACTTGACGAGCTGGCTGTTGAAGGCCTGGGTGCCCAGGCTCAGCAGAGACAGGAGGGCAAGAGCCAGCCAGCCTTGAAACATCACTGTGGAGGTGGCAGTCAGGCAGATGGCTGGGGACAAAGGAGGACTGGTCATAACCCTTGATCTGAGGAGGATTTATCACTAAACCTGTGATGCAACACCCCTGGCACTCCCTGACCAGAGTGAGCCTTAGTCATGGGTCCTCCTAACCTTTTTCCTCTTCCTGCTGGTCCACAAATGCCCCTCGGGTACCAAAGCCTCTCACTCGGGGAGTGAGGCAGGCCACATGTCTACCCAAGGGCTGCCTTCCTCCTAGTCAGCTGTGCATACAGGTGCGTAGACCTACTGACTGCATAGAGTTTCCCCCATTCTACCAGCACTTGCTGATAGACTGTCTGTTGAGTGAGAAGACCCTCAACTCAGCACGACTGTGAAGGACAAGATACAGACAGGGAGCCTGAACCCTTGTATGATAAACCGCTTGGAGCTGATAGACTGTCTGTTGAGTGAGAAGACCCTCAACTCAGCACCACTGTGAAGGACAAGATACAGACAGGGAGCCTGAACCCTTGTATGATAAACCAACAGTCTCCGAAGCACGCGTGGTAGGCTGTCAGCTTCCCAAGCCCCAGAGGATCACCAAGGGTCACCTCTCAGATACACAAGGCTCACAAGCTCATGGAGGTCAGAGCTGGCACAGTGTTGAGCCTGAGTCTCTTGTCTGCTGAGATGCTTCTATCATATTCTGGCTCAGCTGAAGGAGACACAGGCCGCCCTTCCCTCTGGGAGCCCATTGAAGGTGTATATTGTCACTGTTGTGTTCATTTTCAAAGCTATTGTCTGTGTTATCTTCTGCACTGTTGAACCTTAATTAACAGATCTCACAATGTGACTCTATTTAGAAATGGTGGCTTTTGCAAAGCCGATTGAGTTAAAATGAAGATGTTAGGGTGGGTCCTTCTCCAATCTGATGTCCTTATAATTGGACGTGTGGACATTCAGACGCCAGGGATCCACACAGAGAGAAGGGATACCCATGGAAATATAATCAGAAGCCAAAGAGAAACCTTAAAAGAGACCAAACCCACCAACAATGCCATGGTCCTGACATCCACTCTATGGTATTTTGTTACACAGCTAGAGCTGACTGATGTAGCCTGTCCCTCTGCACTTCCCACAGTGATAAAGACCCACGGGGGCTATCTTCCTCCCTTAGTTTACCATATAAATGCTAGAGTGGCAGGACAGGAAATGGATGCAGAGGGGTCACCTGTTTGTACCTGCTTCCTGGGTGTGGCTGATCACTCTCACCCCCTCCACCCAACACCATTCACGGTTGGATGAGTAGACAGATGTTCCCCCCTGGCCTCTGCACTCATCACAGCACCAGGCTTGGGGCCAAGGTTCTGTCTGGACTTGCCCTTTCTCATTGTTCAACTCACCTTTACAGCTTTACAAGCAGACCTGCTTCTGTCTACTTTCCTGGGGCCTGGTCTGCGTCTCCAGACTCCCTCTGTGCATGTTTGGTGTCTGGCTTTATAACACACACACACACACACACACACACACACACACACACACACAGCACGCACGCACTCTCGCACTCGCGCACATGCACACACACACACACACACACACACACACACACACACGCACGCACGCACGCACGCACGCACGCTCACGCACACATGCACACGCTCCAGCCGTTCTCTACCCCCTGAATTCATCCATCTCTTTCTTCAGGTCTGGGACTAGGACTTACTCCTCCTGTTTACTTGAACTGAGGAAGTGGAATCTGGTTGATTTTGAAACCCGAAGTCTTGGCTTTTTCTCTTTCTCCCTTGTGATGTGCTTATTTGCATGTATTACTTGTACATATTAACATGATTCAATGTGATACTTTAACATATACGTGTCGTTTGCAATGGTCATCTTAATTATGTTGTTGTATTGCTGGAAAATGGTGTTTGAACTTGTCAGCAATTCCATCCCTTTAAAAGGCTGGGCCTTCTGAGAAATACAAATACTTTACGCTGTTTCCCCAGTGGAGGAAGTTTGGACAGCACTGCTCTGATGATCCTGTCCCGTGTCCTGCCCTGGAAAGTCAGGCCACCAGGGCGAGGGCCCCTCCCTGACTACAAAACTCTTCAGGAGTCCCCTGCTGCACGCATAAGAAACCAGAGCCAGGAAGCCTGTGGTGGCCAGGCGACCACAGGCATTTACTGTACGAGGTGGAGCCAACCCCAGACCCACAGTCCTAGTGTCCCTCCACCCACCCTTTGCTTTAAAGCCTAGCTGTGACCTGTGTCTGCAGCGGGGGGACAACTGAGCAGCCCCAGTACCTGCTGGAGTCAGGAGCCGGTTCACCTTGCCCCCCCTGCATGGACCCTAATACTTGTGTGGTCACAACAACACTGTGAACATGTACATAGCAACTCATTTGTTGGGGGAATGAATAAAATCTGCGAGTTAGGAATAGGATACGGAAAGCGCCCAGTCTGAATCTGTTTGTTTCTTTGAGACAAGGCTTCGCTCTACAGCCCAGGCTGGCCTGTAACTCACTATGTAAGACCCTGTCTCAAACAATCTACTGAAGCATAAGGAAACAGATGCTTTCTGGGAACTTGATCATAAGCTTTCAGCAATGGTGACAGCATGCACAAGACCCAAGCCAACTCAATCAGACGAAACCCAGTACAGAATGCAGAAATGGGCAGCAGGATGCAACCCCAGCCAAGGAACTATTGATAAATGATTACTGTGGGATGAGAGAGAGGAGATCTTCTTTGAGAGGTGACTCTAGACAGGCTGACGAGACTCTAGTAGATTAGAATGCAGAAATGGGCAGCAGGATGCAACCCTAGCCAAGGAACTATTGATAAATGATTACTGTGGGATGAGAGAGAGATCTTCTTTGAGAGGTGACTCTAGACAGGCTGACGAGACTCTAGTAGATGAACCAAGGGATATCTGGGTACAAATGCTTGACCAGAAAGGACTTAACATGCATGTTAGAAGCCCTGAAATCAGGGCTGGAGAGATGGCTAAGCAGTTAAGAGCACTGACTGTTCTTTCAGAGGACCTGGGTTTGAGTCCCAGCACCCACATGGCAGCTACGAACCGTCCTTAACTCCAGTTCCAAGGGAATCTGAAGCCCTCTTATGACCTCTGCGGCATTGCACGACACATACATGCAGGCTACACACTCATACACATAAAATAAAAATAATAAAATATTTGAAAAAAAGAATACTTGCAATCTAGTGTGTGGTGGGAGGGCTATAGGAGGTGGGGAGGGGACTAAATTTGATTAAGATCTACTATGAAATGCACAAAAACTCAATAAAAAATTAGGAAAAAAAACCCTACTAAAAATAGTGAAAATAATCTAATGTTCTATAGTACAATAGGGTAACTACACAGCATCTAATGTGTGTACATAGACACACACATATGTTTATTGAGACAGAGTCTCATGTAGCCCAGGATAGCCTCAAACTCACTGTGTAGCTGAAGCTGGCCTTGAATGGATTCTCCTGCCTCCACCTCCCAGGTGCTGTGACCACAGGCCTGAGCCACCATGCCCAGATCTTGCTGTTGTTTTGAGACAGGGTCTCATTCTGTAGCCCAGCCTAGCCCTGAACCTTCCATCCTCCTGCCTCAGGCTCTTAGGAGCTTGTATTAAACACCTGTGCCACCCACCTGGCTTTCCTGTATATTTTCTGAAGAACTAAAAGAGTTTGAACTGAACACTAAACAATGATAAATATATAAATTGATGGAAATGCCACTTATACCAACCCTGTCGTTATATATTGTACATATGCACTAAATTACCACACTAGACCCAATAAACAGGCATGATCATTATGTGTGATTAAATAGAAAAAATAGGGGCTGGAGAGACGGCTCAGCAGTTAAGAGTATATACTGATCTTGCAGAAGACCTGAGTCTGGTCCCCAGCACCTACATAAGGAGACTCACAACCTCCTGTAACTGCAGTTCCAGGGCCTCTGATGCTCTCTTCTGGTCTCCAAGGGCACTGCACTCACAGAGATATATGCACACACACGCACATACACACATATAATTAAAAAATAATTTAAAAAAATAGAGCCAGGCATGGTGGCACATGCCTATAATCTCAGCACTTGGGAGTTAGAGGCAGAAAGATCAGGGGTCCAAAATCATCTTTGACTTCATAACTAGTTTGAGACTAGCTTGGGATACATGATACCTTGCCTCAAAAACAAAAACCATAAATAAATAATGAAAATAAATCCAGCTCTGTCCATTGTTTACTCCAAATATACCTATCAGGTAGTTTCATCTCCATTATTAGTTTGGAAAGCAGAGTCACCTTGGGTCTAGGGCTTGACAGTGGGGATAAAGAGGAAGACTGATGGGGTTGGGCCAGAGTGCTGACCTGGAGGCTCAAAGCACTGACAGGGAGGCTCAGGGTCCTCACAGAAGCCCAGCATGGCTCTCAGGTCTGTCTGATAGCAGGCAGAGTCAGGACACACCTTTCTCTCTCCTGCCTCAGAACCTCCTGGCACCTGTCACTTAAATCACGCCCCGCCTGGTGCTCTCCATCCAGCAGATCTGTCCCACCGGGTGGGTTGAGTGTGTCCTTCCTTAGCCCTGGCTGGAAGCCTTAAGGTGGATTTGAGCCCTCCTGAGTCTCTCTATCCAGGGCTCCTCAGCGCCTCTCACCTGAGCACCTGTCCCTCACCCCAGCACCCACTCCTTCTCACTCCATTCTGCCTCCACCACCTAGCCTGAGACATTCCTCTCTCTCTCTCTCTCTCTCTCTCTCTCTCTCTCTCTCTCTCTCTCTCTCTCTCTCTCTCTCTCTCTCTCTCTCTCTCTCTCTCTCTCTCTCTCTCTCTCTCTCTCTCTCTCTCTCTCTCTCTCTCTCTCTCCCTCTCCCTCTCCCTCCCTCTCTCTCTTCCTTTCTTCCTCTCTTCTCTTCCTTTGAGACAGGGTCTCATCATGTAGCCCAGGCAGGCGTCAAGCTCTCTCCATCTCTTGCCTCTGCCCCCTACATGCTAGGAAACAGGCTCAAACTGCCTCACCCTGCACACTGCCTTCCTAAAGCTCTCCTTTCATGTGG